AAAGTAGACACTGATAACTTACATTCCTATTCACATTGAAACAAAAAGTTATTGGACCACTTTTATGCCTTCTTCAGACTCCCCAAGTGGTATGAGTGTCCTCTTCTTTCCCCTTCCTCCCGCTGCGTGTAATTTGGGAGGAAGGTGTCTGCTGGCCCCCAGGGAAGGGCAGGTGGCCACCTTCACTCTTCCTACGTCTCAGCCACGTGGTCATTGCAGAGGTTGGTGGCAGAGGTCAGGGAGCATTCGTGGCCACACTACATCACTCACCTCAAAAGTAAGGCAACTCCATTTTTCTCTTGTAGTTTGACAAAAAAAAGCTTTGAAAAAAATTAACTGAATATATAGAATCCTTATTGTTTTAGCTCTAGGTCTAAATAAAAGCAATAAATTGTGATTATTAATTTTGGATTCAAAAGCTATATAGCACTAACAGATGTGCCTTGCAACATTTTTAATATGTTAAAAACCAGGATGTCTTTTGTGGTCAGACAGAAAGTTTGGCGATTGGCCAAGTGTCGAGTATGGTTAGGGCATCAGCTCTGGCATTTGGCATCTGCCATCATTTCTTTCCTGGCTGCTCCAGCCTCTGATCCAATTCCAGAGAAGCCACAGGCAGAGCCAGAAGGAGCACGGTCACTCCATACTCTCAGCAAGAGCTGCTGGGAACCAGCCCTGCCCTTAGCTACATTTTTTAAAGATTATTTTCTGAGTAAGAACCTTAAATATTTTGACCTAAGGTTGTTATAAATCTTTCAAGATGAAAACCAAATAGAATGTTATGAAATTCAAAACGGAATGTGTGAAACCAAATAGGATTTGAGTTTCTCAACTAAAAACACTGCAAAGCCAGTTTTGTAGGAGTCTTCGAAACCAGACACCCTGTGTCAGTGGGTGGCAGCGTTTTAAATAGCCTTTGCTCTTTTGAAGCAATGCGATGTGAACACTGCTATAGCAAACACCATCATCTCTTTCAGAATTGTTTTTTACTCACACTAGATGCCACGATTCCAAGACATATAAGACATGTAGTTTTGGATGCACAGAACAAAATAAAACTGAGGCAGATAAAGGTCAGCAGCTCCCCTGCCCAGGTCTAGCACCTGTGGAGGCCCTCGGTGTCTCAGCCAGGGAACGGCCAAAGGCCTGGTCTGTTCAAGATGCAATAACAACTTGTCTGAACTTGAGGAACATGAGATTCAACCAGATAAAGAACTTTATTTTACCACGTTAATTATCCTACACCATCTGGGGATTTTTGTTTCGTCATCCTGTGGTAGGTCTGTATATGCTGACATGGAAAGATTGCTAAGATATGTTTTTTGGTAGGGGGAAAAAAAAAGGAAACTGAAGAATAATATACTTTGCTTATTTCATTTATGTAAAAATAAAATACCTAAGTATAATATATGTAAATGCAAAGAAAAGGGTAAAATACATTGTTTAGGAGGCAGCTATGAAGATTAAAGAGACTGTCACATTTACTCTAATTATATTCATTCAGCATGTTTACTGAGCTCAGGTTTTGTGCCTGGTGCTGTTCTAGGATTGGAACCTGAAGCCATAAAAGTCTCTACATACATGGAGCTCACATGTAATGAAACAGACAACGAAAAGGCAATAGAGTATGTCAGAGGGTAATAAATGTTATAGGGAAACCAAGGCAGGGAAGGGGTAAGGAGAACTGTGAGCAGGAGGTGGAAGTTCTAATTTTAGATAAGTTGTCAGAGAAGGCTCCCATCGCTGAGGCGGGAGCTTCAGCGTCTAGACCTGAAGAAGGTGAGAGAGTGAGCTGTGTGCATTCCTGGGCAGCAGCCTTCCCTGCACAGCGAGTGGTGAACACAGACTTTGAGACTGGACCAGGGAGGACCTGCTGAGTTTGAGGAACATTTAGGAGCCCAGGGTAACAGAGGCCGGGTGAACAAGGCAAGGCAGTAAAGGTTGAGGAGAGTGTGGGGGCAGGTCATATAGGGCTGCGAGAAAAGACTTGACTCTCACTCTGAGATACGTGAGGAGCCACAGAAGGAGGGGCATGTGCTGGCTATGTTTTAATTGGATCTCTCTGGCTCTTGGGTTGAGGAGGAAGGAGCCTGACAACCAGTTGGGAAAGTATTGTCATAAACCCAGAGAAAAGTGATGGTGGTTTAAGCCACAGTGATAGTAATGAAGGTGGTAAGAAGTGGTGAGAACGTGTGTGTTTACTTTTTTTTTTTTTAAGATAGAGCCAATAGGAGCTACTGACAGGCAGAATGGGGGATGCAAAAAAGGAAAGAAATCAAAGATGATACTGGGGTCTTTGGTCTGAGTCACTGCAAGAACAGTTGTCTTAACTTAGGGGGAGTGGTCGCGTATTGAGAACTCAGTTTTGGACATGTCAAGTCCAGGAAGGCATGCCAAGTAGGCATTTTGAACAAACACCTACTAATTTTTATTAATAAAAATATCAGTGCAGAAATCAATGGAATTAAAAACAGGAAATTAATAATCAACAAAACCAAAAGCCAGTTTTTGGTTTTGGCTTATTGATCAATAAAATCAATAAGCCACTAGCCAGGCTAACTAGGGGGGAATAAAATCAATAAAATCAATAAGCCACTAGCCAGGCTAACTAGGGGGGAAAAAAGAGAAAAGACACAAATTATTAATATCAGACATGAAAAAGGGGACATCACTGCAGATCCAGTGGGCTTTAGATAACTGGTGATTGCCAGATAGGAGGGGTTTGGTGGTTGGGTAAAAATGTGAAGGGATTAAGTACAAGTTGGTAGTTACAAAAGAGTCGCAGGGATGTAAAGTACAGCATAGGGAATATTTTTTTAAAGTACTCTAACCACACGATACACCAGTCACACTCCTTTTGGCATCTACCAAAATTAATCAAAAACATGTTCGCACAAAAACCTGCACATGGATGTTTAGAGAAGCTTTATTCATACTTGCCAAAATTTGGATGTAACTGAGATGTCCTTCAGCAGATGAATGGATAAATAAACTGTGGTATGTACATACAGTGGAATATTACTCAGCACTGAAAAGAAATGAGTTATCAAGCCGTAAAAGACACGGAGGAAAGTTAAATGCGTATTACTAAGTGAAATAAGCCAATCTGAAAAGGCTGTATACTGCATAAATTCAACTATATGACATTATGGAAAAGACAAAACAATGGAGTCAGTCAGATCAGCGGTTGCCAGGGATTAGGAGGAAGGGAGAGAAGAATGGTTGGAGCATAGAGTGTGGTGCCGTGAAGGTGGGTCCATTTGTCCAAACCCATAGAATGTACAACACCAAGAGCAAACCTCGGTGTAAACCATGGGCTCTGGGCAGTAATGATGTGA